GTGCGTCGTAGATTCTCGTCGTGTTACTCTCGCGTCGTGATTCTTTCGTCAAAGTGCGAAGTTGCGAAGTCCGCGTACGGTTGGAATGCCGCGTAATGTCGGGAGTGCCGTGCAATAAATGTCGCGCGATCGTCGTATCGTGATGGTTAATCGCGCGCGATCGTAATTAACCATGTTTCGCGAGTGTGTGCGTGTTGCAACGACGGGATCTGGGAGGAGGAGGAGGAGGCGGCCCGGGGAGGCGTCAGGCGTCGGCGGACCAATCTCTGGGTAAATAATCTGTGGCTTCTTGTTTTTTACTTGCAAAATTGATTTATCTCCACGATAATTGCATTGCATTTTCGTCGATTTTTTTACAATTATAACAATATAATGCATGTAAGATATTTTTTATTTCTTCTCGTAATACTGTTAAAATATTAACATATCTAAGTTTTATAATCATTCGAATTATTTAAAAATAAAAATTATATTTTCATCTCTACCGAATTCATAAAAAAAGGTTTTTTTTAAATAATGCAGTTTTTAATAAAATATCTTTTTGAATGAAAAATTAAATGCGCGCAAAAAATTACATTTTAAAATAGTAATTATTTTAGAAACTATTTTAATCTAATTACATTTTTATTTTTATTTTATAGATTAATGCTGTATACCTGAGTCCGCTGCTGTGCATCCAGTAAGTCTCGAATTATATCTTTTATTTTAATTTTAAAATAAAGAATTTGTAGAAAGATACTTTAATATCGTAAATCCATTTCTTATTTAAAGGTAATTTAAAACAGTTTAATATTGTTTAATATGTAAAGGTCATTTATTCGTTCTTTTAATGGAACAAATTTTGTGTCGTCTTTCAAGATGAAATAATAATTGAAATTCCGTTAGAATAATCTGAATTTTGTAGAATATATTTGTAAGTATACATAAAAAAAAATGATAGGATACGTCGCGCGAGTAACAATTGCGTGATGGAAAGAAAAGCGGAAACTCACATTTTGAAATCGTGTATTTCCAGTACCAAATATCCAGTACATTATGTTCTTACAATTACATTGCGAAACTTAGAGAACTTTAAAGTTGACATTCCGAAAGTAAAAGTAATGCGTGTTTCAAGTCGAGAGTAGGCGATTTTATCTAAATACTAGTATTTTAATGACATGACAATTCAGAAAAACACAAATTTTATTCAAAAATAAAATCATATTAAAAGACGCATTTATACCGTCATATATTCGTTAAATTAATAAATTATCGAGTCAATAAAACTTATCGTACTTCATATAGGAAGTATCTGTATCAGCTTACAAATACTTTATTTATATACGATCAACCGTCTGTTAAAATCGATGGATTGAACGATGGGTAATAAAAGTATCAATTAAGGCGTATAATAATTCATTAAGTACGCTGCTATTATTAGTACTATATCGTATCGCGAGATAAAGATACATCTAATGAGTTAATCTAACGTTACGAACTAACGGGAGGGGGAGGGGGTGATAGTCGAATGGACGAGTTAAAGGATCGAAAAGTTATAATCAACTAACGTTTAATTTATGTCAATCTACTTGCAATACGTGTGGCATCTAATTTGTTATCTCTTTTCTTCTTGAAACTTAGCACATACAGCTTCCGTTTTCTGTAGGCGATGGAAATTACACCTTACATCTGATATTTAGGATGACTCATCATTTAATGACAGATTTGTTCGTTAATCAGAGTAATTTTATCTTAAGGCAAAAATGTCGAAATCTATTACTTATATAGCTTTTGAACAATAAGTGCATAAAAATATTTTTAACGAATTACATTTTAAATACTGAAAACGTGAAACGTTGAAAATCATTCTTTTTTTTTCGATTTCTATTAAGCTTCAATGTGGATATGTCATATCTAAGAATTAGTTGCAAAGTTTAATATTAGAGTTTAATAGTAAACAATTTATAGTAAATATTCTTAATCAAAAATTAATATAAATGTACATCGAATGTATAAAAAAAAGGTTATTAAAGACTCAATGGATGATGAGACATCCTATACATCTTTCATTGGCAACTAGAATCCGAGTATATAAAACTCGCAATTAATTCATTAATTAGCGAAGTTATTCTGACTGCATACACTAATACAAGAAACTTTTTTTGGCAAATTGCTGCTTCAATACTATCAGGAACGAAATTCAAATCAAAATGTTGATGTTGAGTCTTAATATTTGTAACAGTACCGAGGGACAATGCATACATACTATCGTGTAAAAAAACTGCACTTTATATTATAGTCACTCTCTTTGACTAAAAATTCGTTATCCTGAGTTTGGCATGTCGAGACTTATCTGAAATTATGCGAATATAACAAATTAATGGTCCAATCATAGAAAATGATATGTAAAGAAAAACAATACTGTCTTTCGTCAATTGAATGATTATTAATCAAGTTCAGTTAGCATACGTATACAGTTCGCATTTTCTTAAACATACAACTTTTAGATTCGAATTCGTACGCGTACATACATGTTACATGACACGTTACACATGGGAGATGACTGAAATAAAAATGAACGTCATAATTCTAGTTGCAAAACTCATTTATTTTGCTCTACGAATGCAATCAAAATTCAGAAAGAACAAAATTTACTGATTAGTTCTGTACAACGCATATCTTTTGAGACTCGTGTTATTCAGTAAACTTATACAGGAATCCATCGATAGTGCGATTAATGTATCATGATCAAATATAAATTAAAAAAACCAAACTATATAACACTTGTGTTTTAATCTAACGTACACACATGAATATCTGTGAAAACATCACGAAGAGTAATAATCATAACTATAATTTTTCCCTCGGGGGAAAAACGTAAAGTGATTCATCGACAAACGTAAATGAGATGAAAAAGAAGATAAAGGGGAAATGCGACGGGCTCGTAGGAACAATTGAAGAGTGGAAATCAAATATTGGCTGAGTTCAAATACAAGAATGATATTCTGAGTTAATAAAAAGATATTTTAAAAATTCTTTGTTTGTAAAATTATTATTTCAATTGTCTTAAGACATTAAACTAATAAAATATTAAATCATAAAGTCTTTAAAATTCTAGCTGTCATATCACTGTAAAAATGTTCTCAGTTCCAGATTTAATAATAAAAAATATTTACATTATATGTCATATATTATTCAAATTGCATAAATGACACAATATTCGTGTTTTAAAACAGATATATGTTTAAACAAAGTTTTTATACATGCACGTTAATGTTTAGAAAGTTAATAGTACATTAATAATAAATACATATAAAAAAAACAAATTTTGGAAAGAAAAATGTTTAACTTTAATTTACAAATGTAAATTAAATTTTGTTGGTATTTGATTTCCACTCTTTCCCCTGTGGGGATATCTTTAAAAGTTAGAAAGTATCGATTAGAGTCCTTACGTCTCTCCTACAATTATATTGACGTATTACAGATAATATAGCCAATGAATTACAAACAATAATATCGCTAATGAATATGGAGAGGTTACTCTTGTTAATAGTCCTACGTTAGATTTTTTTTCGATCGTCTCGCTCGTTTAATTTTAACGCTTTGGAAAGACGAGTTTCCTGCAAATTACAATCACATAAAGGCGCGATGTTACAAGATTTCTGTTTTTCGTCAGAGCTGCAATTGTGATAAATCTATTGCTAAATCACAAAACTACTGAACCGCGTTGCACGTGTCATCTTGAAACGAAACATAATCCGAATCTTAATAGTAATACAGATTGATATGGGTTTTAATCGAGTCATTTTCGTATAATAAACAACGAGGCAGTGTTACATCATGCTTTGCTCACTTAAAATTTCTTATACGAATTAAAACTATGTTGAATGCGTTTGGGCCTTCGTCTTAAATTGTTTAAAAAATCCCGCAATGGGAATATATGACAATAAATATGTAGTAATGTGTAGTAATATATGACAATAAGTATGTAGTAATATTAACATTTATAATAAAAAAATTTATAAAGATATAAAATTTTAAAAAATTTGTCCAAATTTATGGTATTAAATAATTATTTTTTAAAAAGTTGTCTTCCATTTCTGAAAACAAATCAAGATCTTAGAGATCTTAATAGGATTACCTAACATTGAAAGTGAACAATTAAAAATTAATATTGTTTTTATTTTGAAGTTTTTATTTTAACAAAATTTTAATTCCAAATTTAATTATTAAAATATTTGTTAAAACTACATAAGTGATGCAAAATTTTTTAATGAAAGATTATCTTATTAATATTAGTTTTTTAATAAAAGATCTTATTAATATTAACTTCTGTCACTTGTTCTGTATTATTTTATTGAATTTTACGAAATAAATTAGGCCCGAATGCAATAGCATTGATCTTTGAGTCAATTCCCGTTAATATATTGTAGTCTAAGAATTGAATCTTAACACCTCAGCTCTATACTATTCAGAGCTCGGTAAAATCAGTTCGACTGTCGTTAGGATTAACACGTTCAATGCCGTAGGAATTTTAATAAATTTTTTTGTCTAATGTTGCTCTTTCAATCAGCAACATATACAAATATCTAAGTAAGTCGATCTATATGTTAATAAAATGATCAATGGCGCGATCATTGGCATTGAAGGTGTCAAAAAGATTACACGCTGTAATCGTGAATATTGAGCGTGACTCGTGCCCGAGCATGCGATCAAGATGTGCCCTTCGGCCTTCTCGACTATTGACGCAAAACAGTAGTATGAATGATATGGAGGTGATGATTCAGGCGATGTCGTGAAAAGTCAGCCGAGAAGGACCTCAAGCACATCGTCATCTCATCCTCTAAAGCTAAATTTTTGTTTCCTAAACCATGGCAGTTTTTTGGCTTTCATAATATCGTGCGATAATATCAACGATCAGTCGGGAAAAGTATTATCAGTCGTAAAAGCTTGCATTCCTTCTTGCCGCTATGTTTGATTTCTCAGTCAATCTGCGCGTTGGTAGGACATAACACCTGCCGTTCTCGTTATTTCATACATGTATTTTAAAACCGTTATTAAAACACGTATACATTCGATGGAATAGATAAGTGAGATCGAGTGTCACTTATCTGTGCCATCGTACATATGAAAAAATGATTCGATCGCTGATCTTAGACTTATATTAGACTGGTGTCTCGACGAACGTAGTAGAAAGCATGAGAGGGTTTCGCTTTTTCGTCTTGACTACTTCGAGACGAGTGATACAATAGCGAGAATAATACGATCTGTCGCAAGTATCGAATCGTCCGCATCTCTTCGAGTAGACGACTTATAAATAAAATATGCGAGGTCTGTCAAGAATGCATACCGTAAAACATCAAACCGTGCTTACTTTCGTATTGGTTTCTCCCGTATTCATTTCTTGTTATACGCGCACTAATAGCTTTAGACGTACGAGACACGTCGCGTTCCTCCCGTCTCATCCTCGCGTCTCCCTAGCATAGTCGGCGAAACGTAATGTAAAGCAAAAACAACGCGAAATCGTCTATCGATCTATAGAAGTCTCCGCCACTTCTGACCTCTGACTGATTTCGACTAGACGCGGGCATACTAAAAATCGAACAAAAACAATAAAATCGCAACGGAAATACCACGAAGACGATCACTTTCGCATAATTGATAACAACGAATCGTTTCGAGCAACCTATATGTCTATCAATATTCTTAAATCACAGTCAATTTAATAGGAATGGACATATTCAAATAACAGTAAAAAGTAACAGTAATTGATTTCTTTGCCGAAAGCGCGATCCAACTTTTAACCGCTATTAATCGTTATTTTCTAGTTCCCATACGCGTTTTAAAATGTTGAGCATCACAAAAAATGAGCGACAGTCTACACACAGTATATCCATATTATCGCTTTGCATGTAATCTAGACGATTGATCAGTCAAAGTGCAATTTGCACTTTATATTCAGCTACTTGCATTTGAATATTTTCACATACAGCAGCTTTTAGAGTATTTTAATACGAAGTAATTAGCAGACTATTAAATTTATGCCATTAGATTAACTGTAAAGAGATAATATAAACGCATTCCACACGCGTATAGACTGTAACAAAATTCTAATTTATAGGAATGACAGAGTAAATCTACGAATCGATATGCTCTTTCGCAAGTTTCCAAATTATACGATTAAATATAGAAGAGAATGGATCCAATTAGTTACGTGACTTGTTTTTAACTGCAATCACTGGGGCCAGTTTATTCAAGTAACCATATAGAGCCATTCGCCTCTAAGAGCTGAGCAACTGCGAACTAAGTCGTGAAACTACAGAATATAAGAGCTAAAGTACACTCTTTTGGGCTCTTTGACAAATGTTTCGCGATATTATAGCTGTAGTTAACGGTTCTGTATTGCAACATTAAAAAAAAAAAAAAAAAAATTACATTACGCGAACCATGTTAGGCAGACAAAACGAGAAAGCGTATCGATGCAAAAAGTCCTAATATCAATTTTTTTTAAATCTTATATATAACAAAACGCGAGCGAAATTAAAACGTAATTGAGTGAAGCTTACTGTGCAATGTATCTACAAATATTTAGACTTGAAATGCATTGTTTATCGATTCACAAAGTTAAATATGCTGTGCGCAACGAAGATCTATGATATAATCTACAAGACAGCAACTATTAAAGGCGGTACCAATACACAGTCTTAAAGTAATTATTCGTAGTTAACTTCACGGTTGCAGCAGTAAAATAAAACATCGACCAGATCTCTCAATGTTGTTTATCAAACTATCAAGGGTAAGAGAACGAAGCCGAAGTGATGAAATGAAGGAAGCAAAATTTCGAACCGTGAAATTCATTTGGCACAGATACAATCGATATTTTAATATACTGCAACTCTATTGAAATTACCTATTCTATCAGTTTTCATGTATAGTTGTTCTGTTTAGGCGGTATAAAAAAGATGTCAGTACACGTGTCGTGTAGAGTAATATTAGAAAAAAGCCCCTCAAGAACATGTAATAATTGATTACAGCGGATGACACGTTTTGATACTTCTAGATCGATCACATGCAAAATTTCAATTAAAAAAATATTCTAACTTTAATTATAACAATTCATTCTTTCCTTGTAAAAATTGCCATAGCAATCGAAAATCAAAAACAAACAGAGAGTTGAAATAGTTAAAAGCTTATTTTCACGATATAGGAAAGCAACATATATATGAAGTGACATAAAACATTTAAAACGATACCGTATAAATGAAAGTTAGTCATCATCAAGAAAAGTAAAATTTATGCCTGTAACAATATCTAAAAAACTAAAAAAAAAAAAGAAAAGTTTGAAGCGTCTTTCCATACCATACTTTTCTATTTTCTTTCGTTATAGAGCCGCCGAAACAAACCGGTAGTTTTACGAACTGCATCTTAAAGTAGCGCGTTTACGTTTTTGACGTAGTACGATTTACATAAAGTATACGTGGGATCAATTAATATCAGTTTATACCTGCGAATAAGTACTTGTTGGATTGGGGTTATGCATGAAGGGCTCCTTAAACTGTATAAGAACAAAGTTAAGACGTCGCCGCTACAACTACAGGAGGAACAACGTCGGATTCTCCGGCACCGTCGGCTACGGCGGAATCGACGACTTTTTTAACTTTTATGGATTCCGCACTACTTTCTGACAAGCTCTCGGGCTCGCCGTTTTGCGCTGCCGCATCTTCGTTCGTTGCCTCCTTCGACGGCCCTTCATTCAGTCCGTTACTATGTAATTTGTCATCCAACACTGGCACATCCGTATTTCCATTTTGTGTGGTTCCATTGAGTTTTTGCTTTTCCGTATCCACTGTATTTTTGTCCACCACATTCTCTTCTTTCACTGTCCCCTCTTCTTTTATTGTCTCCTGCTGCGTAGTTTCATTCTCGCGTTTATCAGCATCGACCGTCTCCGTTTCTATTCCCTGAGTCTTTTCATCGACTTTCTCAGATTCTGCAGTTACTTCCAAATTCTTCTCTGCGGACACTTCAGCTGATGCCGTTGCTTCTTTCCTTGTGTCCGTAATTGCCGCTTCCGTTTCTGTTACCGTTACCGTAGTTTTTTCCGCAGCTGCTTCTGCTGTGGTCTCCCCATTTTCTGTGACATCTATTGCAGTCGTCTCCACTTTTGCCGCCTCTTGCTCGCTCTTCGCTAAAACATTCTCGCTTTCAGATGCACCTGAAATAATCTTGGATTCCTCCTTTACTTCATCTTTTTTCGCTGTCACGCATTCAGATTCAGATTTGTTTGCTACATTTTTGTCACAAGTTTGTGGTACAATGCCGTCGTCTGCCTTCTCGTCACTTTCGATCGCTTGAGTTTTATCGACACCTTCAGCCTGTATATCTTTTGCAATGTCTGTAGAATCTTCGATTTTTTTCTCGGAAGACGTGAGAGTGGTCTCAGACTTTGACACAGACTCTGGCGCGGACACGTCCGCAGAATCATCGGCTGCAGTAGTTTTAGTTGCAATCGCATCTAAATTTTCTTCAGTCTTTTCTGCGATGCCTTTATCATTGTCTTTCGTGGCAGCATCATCTTTCACGTTACATTGTGCGCTTTCAGAGGAACCTGCGTCCTCATTCGTGTCCTTCGATTTGGCATTAGATTCTGTTAATTCCTGTTCAGCGTTCGAAAGATCTTTCTCGACCGCTACTGCTTCTTCCACTTGCCCTAAAGAAATCGAAGCATTTTCTGACGGTTGATCCTTTGCACATTCCCTTTCTGATTCAGTTGCGTCTTTTGCATCGTTTTTTTCAACCTTTTTATCGCTGACATCGGACATTTCTACATCTTCGGAAGTGTCCATCGGCTCACCGACGTCAGCTGCACCTTCGTCAACTTTGTCGTCAGCTGTTTCTAATTTTTGCCGCTTTGTAGACGTTTGAAATGTCAAATCCAAAAATGACTTAATGGTTGTATATGTAACTTTTTCCTCATCGGTTAATGCAGCATTACCCTCACGTACTACGATTATTGTTGATAAACCTGCTTCCTTGGCAGCTGCGGCTTCTGTTATTGATTAAAGAAAAAAAAATTAGTAAAGATATTTGCAATTATCATTCGAACATATAAGGCCTGTTCTTTATAGCTGAACTGCTGCACTAGTTCACAGTTTATCTTTTTCTTCCTACATTGGAAGAAGATAAACTCTGAACTGGTGTAGCTGGTTCAGCTATAAAGAACAGATCTATAGAAAATCTCGCTCTCTCTCTTTTATTCTTCTCACTCAGAAGAAAGAAAATATACAAACCTTTTACAACATCAGTGAGGAAAACAACATCGGATGGTTTTCCACCGATTTTACTCAGTATATTTTTATAGCTGTCACTTTCTTGCTTTGCACCTACTTCTGTGTCAAAGAAACCGTTGAAATACTAAAAAGAGGAAAAAATATACAGTTTATGCAAATACTTTATTAAGATCTTTGGCAGGCCATTTTTACAGTATAATGTATTATTTTGGAGTACCTTAAGTAAATCACCATGTACAGAATATCCAAAAAGGAGCTTCTGTGCCTCAACACTGCCACTTGAGTAGATGTATATTTTCTGACCATTGTTTGTCCATGATTCAAATGCTTTAGGAACATCTTCATAAACGCTAAACAAAATGTATTCTATTGAAGCTTATAATATAAAAATTAAATTTTTAATTTTTTTTTATCAATTTTAAAATTTTTTTATTGAATTGCAATAGTTTTCATAATCAGAATTAATTTACAAACACTATTCTAGAATTACAATTAAAGATGTAATTCTGAAGAAATTATTTACAAAACTACGCTTTGCATAATAAATACAGCTGCTTAGAAAAGAAGTATTCAATGCACAACATTCACAAGTTAAAATTAAATATAGAATAAAAATTTTAAAAATGCAAATGTTATGGAATTTATGTTATACACATAACAAGTAAGAGATCTTATGTAAAGGATGAATATAACTAACAGTAAGATTTAACTGAAGTGAGCCCAAATACTACTATTCACCTCACTATTTATGATAGTTACGTGTAGCATATTACGTGATTTTTTTGTATATGTATATATTACATATGTCTTTATAGTTTTACTTAACTATACGTATAAACTTTATATAAACTGCTAATCAATCTATGTGAAAGATCATAAAGATTTGGCAAAGACAATATAGTATACGTAGATCGAATCAATCTAATTATCTAATGTAGATCAAAAACAAATTAGAGCAAATGTGAAATAGAAATAACTTACTGTCCTTTAACTGTGCCTGTCTTATATGCTTCACGCCACATATGTCCTTGCAATTGCTTTAATGCAGCTGTCTTACGATCGTTATCCATTTGCCACAAAACATTTTTCAAAAGTGAATCTTTTTCTTCTTCAGGCTTATCGCCAGTAATCGCTACAAAGCCATCTAATTTATCTTCCTCGTCTTTTTTTGCCTAAAAGAAATGCATTAATAAACCACTAGTAACTGATAAAATAGAATTGTTAAAAAATTGATGCAAATTATTTGAAAAAATTAGATGTTAGAAAATTCAATTCAAAATATATTCTATGCAAGTTCAATAAATATAATTACGTATGTCTAGTGTAAAGAAATTTATACATCATTAAACATATATGTGAGATGAAAAATATAAAATAGTATAGAATAGTATAGAATTTAATATTAGAGATAAAAGATTATTTGTATAAATCAAGAAAATTATATTCATATTAGGCTGAAAAAAAATTTTTAATACTGTTAAAAGAATGAGGAGAATAAAGGAGTAAGGATAATTTATACTCATTATTTATTTTAGAATTTCTGAGTTATCTTATTATAAGAATAAAAAGCAACATAAACGTTCAATAATTTCTCTATTATAATAATGTCTTATAGATTCATTATCTGTAGCGTGACACAGTGGCTGGCTGAAGATTCTTGTTTTTAATTATATTAGTCTAATTACTAAATCAATGTAATTTTCAAATATTTGTTATGAACTCTGTTATCATCATTTCAAAACGAAAGATTTTATATATCCGAAAACTTTACAATAAATTTGATCAATCTTTTCACATCATAAAAATTGTTTCACATTACTTCTTTTTTTTTTTTATCAAAAACGTTGAGTTTACACGTAAAAGAACGGAAAGAAAACATATCCAACACTTCGATACAATGCGATACAAAATCCGAGTTCGTTATTTCTCTCATGCCATTTCAAACAAAGGCGAACGTCACATGGTCAACTTCTGACAATTTTTTTTCTTCATCCTGTCAAAATCCCATATTTACCTGCTCCTTTGTGACAGGCCAAAAACCCCATATTTACCTGTTCCTTTAACTTTTCGTAGTCCTGCTTGAACTCCTCATCTTCCCACTTGGTCTCAATGTAGTCTTTTAGATTCTGGCGCACGTAGGGAAAGAGAGTCTCCTGCAAAGAGAAACATGCCGCGCTCGTAAGATCAGGCGCCGTCGCCGCCGGCGAGGCGATAAACTCGCTCGCCGGGAAAAATCGCGCGTGTCCCGTTGTTTCCCAGCGGCGTTCCGCGGCGTCTCTCGGCGCGTCGCGTCAATATACATATCAATGAGACCGATGTCTATAAAAAGATCATAACATTTGTGTTTTAAATCGTGTTCTCACGGCCGTTTTGGTCATTAACGGGGTGGGGGAGAGGTGGAGGGGAGGGGGCCGCAGATTTGCCTTTTGACTGAAAACTCGAAAGCAGCAATAAGTGCAGTAACCCTTAGCTCGAGATCTCGTCTCTTTTCCGTCTCGCAAAACGCGACGGTGATGGCGGCGGCCGGCGGCGACGGCGGCGACGGCGGCTCGCGATCGGCCGAAAACTCGCGATTCGAGCCGGCAGCCGGCACACCGCCCCGACGCGAGGACAATAACCCGCCGGTGGAATTCGACCGTAGGTATATGTATACGCGCGACGAGACACGACGAGAGCGAGGAGGCAGAGGACTCCTCGCCGAGACTCGGGACGATTTTCCAGGGTTGCGAGAGGGCCAAGGAAGGGAAACGCCGGCGCGAGGCTCGCGGAGAGAAATCTCTCGGGAAGAGGCCGCGGCGAGAGGCCGCTCCCCCGAAATGGAGCGACACGAGAGACGACCCGGCTCTTTCGTGAGGACCGCATTCGTGTTGTCGCCGATATCCGTTTTTTTCCGTTTCGGCCCTTTGTGGCCCGTTTACCTTCACGAAGCTGATGCTCGTGGTGGTGCCTTCGATGTCGACGAGCACCGTCCGCGCGAATGAGATCTCGTCCTTATCCTGGCTGCGCTTTTCCCCGGCCATTTTCACGAACCGACTCGCCCACGACCGTAGGATTAATAGCGGTTATATCTATATGTATGCTCCCCCTCGGTTAGGTTGGCGCTCACGCTGTATATGTCGGCGACGACGCGTTCTTGTTGGGAGCCGGCGAACGAATTCGCTGTTGGCCGTGCGCCAATGTACGCCACCGGTATATGCGTGCGAACTCCGTGTGGGTCCCCCTCTGCTCGCAGCCCGCGCCCTGCTGTACCCGGTAACCACGTCCGTATCCAAACATTTCGGATGCCCGGACTCGATCCGCCGGTCGAACGTTTTAACGGGAAAAAAGACATCTAGAGGACGATTTAAAAAATAAAAAAAATATCTTTTGGAATCTTTCGTAACATTTTTCTATACGTTTAATTTATCCACACTGTGAATTTTAATAAAACGGACGAGTGTATCGCTACATCTGAGAATGCCTCTAATAAACTGAACGTCGATTAACATTTCTTTACTAATTTCTACATCATAATTAGCGTTTTTATTTTCAATAAAGATATTTTGTGCGATTGCAGTTGCATATGGACGAAAGGCTCGAGGGTGTAATTTTCAAAGAGGAGGCGTTAGGTTCCACGGCGAGTCGCGACGACTCTGCACCGAATACAAAACCGCGACCCGTATCAGCGTGTAGATACTTGCGATCGCGTGGCAGTATGAGTGCGCGCTGCGAATCACTCGTTCCATCCACTGTTTCGATATGGGTCGGGTTTTTCGCACATGCGCAATGGATTTCGCACCAGTGAAGTATTAACTTCCAACGAGCAAAGGTATTGGTGGGTACCCTTGTCAAGCTGCCTTAAATAATATTTAAAAATTTTTAAGAAATTGATCAAAAATGTAAGGTATGCCAAATGTAATATACGTATATTTTGATTTCTCAAAAATGTTTAAATATTGTTTAAAATTGTTTGATACAAGAATACCTATCAATACATTTGTTTGTTAGAAATTAATACTTCACTGATGTTGAATCCATTACGCATGTGCGAAAAGTCCGGAACACTAGTTCCACCTAGAGATTTTGATTTCTACTTTCGCGTGTAATCGCATGGCATCTACGATTGGTAATAACACCGACGAGGTATAATTCAAAACAACCGATCAAAGGCAAATTTTCATTGTCAAATGAGATAATCGAAGAACGACCACGAAAATTTGACCGACCATTAATAATACCTCGTTGGTGATAATAGTTATCGAAAGAATTAAAAGATATCGTTAGTTGTATTTCTTTTCTTTTAAAACAAGAAATTTATAATTGTTAAAATATTATTAAAGACGGTTGATCTTATTGAATATATAATTGAAATTAACATAAAATTATTATATATATCTAAATTTGAAATGACTAAACAGCTTATAATATAAATTAATTATGTAATCGTTAAATTATTAAAGATGGTCTTATTAACATAATTAACGAAGTTAACATAATTATTATCTAAATTTTAGATGACTAAAGAGCCTATAATATAAATTAATTACATAATTTATTATTATTTTGATATTTCGTATAAAATTAATATAAACGTTTACTCCTTTTTTTATAAACTAATTTGTGCAAATAATGCCGAAATATGCCAATTTTGTTGTAATAAATAAGCCTGCTGCCTCAAGTTCTCAATCAAACCTCCTGTTTGATTAGCTACCCCCTTCAAAAATTTTAAATGACAATAGGTATCAAAGTGATATATCATTTCAAAGAATTGTTGTTAATTTATTCTTTTTCTTGTTGAAACGCATTCATATTTACACTATAACGAAATATTCGATTCTTCTTTATTATCGTTGTCAGCATATTGTATTTCGAGGATGCATAAGGTGATAACTATGAAATATGTAATTTTGCAATAATAAACGATATTATTACGTCGTAAATATGTACACCTATTTATTATACCTGTATAATAATAAATTGAATGCAATATTGCATTAAGAATAAATTGTTCAGATATTTATACCATTCGAGAAATTTATTTCAACAGTCGATAATACTTATATACTTTTCGAGTATCTTCAAATTTACGAAATTTATTGAATTATTTACTTATATACTTTTCGAGTATCTTCAAATTTACGAAATTTATTGAATTGTCACGAAAATTTGTCCAGAATTTTAACAATATTTCGTCATATTTTTGTAGCAATTTATTTATTAATAAAACACATGAATTTCATATTATTTAAGAATATGTAGGATTCGAATAAAGCAAACCAGCGTGAACAAACACAAATGAATAACTTGTTTCGATGAGTGCGAATAACGTCGAAGCGAGTTGTTTATTCAGGTTTGTTTGCAGTCGTTAGTTCGGTTTGATTCCGGCTTTAATGTTTGAATAAATTCGAGAAATAATTTATGAACATATTAATCTGTGAAGCACTTCTCAAGTATGTCAAAACAATAATTTGGTCCCGAATATTTTCAAATAATGTCGCATTTTATTGCACAAACAGTAATTCTCAATTCGCAAGTCGATATTTCGTGTTGTTTGATGTATAATAGTATGCATACGTCGCACGTATTTTTTTCCGCGGCGCGATTTCGTTTGTACTTTCGGCGTTATGGAAAAAAAAGAGAGACGCTCGACGCAACGGCTATTTTTTCGCTTCTCGAAGCTTATAGGCCCCAGTTCGATCGCGTTTCAGGCTCTTAAAAGGGTCGTCAAAATGCTAATTCCAAGCGCGGAAACCTAGTTTAACACATGCCCAGCAGCGTTTAAAAGTTACGTAGTTCCGGCGTTGTTGCAGTGCCGGTTCTTCAGTAGTTACCCCTCCGGTATATGAGAGACCGGATTCTTGTTAGCTCTAGTTTTCCACAGGTCATCCCGACAGTATTTCAAAAGATTGATTTATTAAACGTAAGAATAATTAAATCGTAACGATTGTACCCAAACGGAATAACAGGTCACGATAACGTCAATGTGACGATAAAATGAATCGAAAAGTGACTTTTAATAATCACATATTTCGGGGCTATTTCGATGTCATATGATGACTTTATGTGCCACTTGCGTCCCAGCGAGAAATAACTCACCAAAGTGATGTCGAATTTACATTAATATACGAGTACGATATGAATTCGACATCAATTCAATTCGACGTCTAATTGACGGTTCTCACTGTGGTAGAGCAGGATGTACGCTTAAGAAGAATTCTTTGCACAAAACTGGCACAGACAAAACGTGATCAAGATAATACCTACTCAAATATTAATGAACTGGATGGAGAATAACAATGATAATCGCATAATTGCTGTGACAATTATCTGCATGATTGATTTACAATCTGTTGAAACGACTCGGTGCCCTTTTTTTTCAAAGTTTCGCCAATTTTGTGCTTGTCCAAAAGATGTTTTTTTTTTTCAATGGGACTCCACCGCACCGCGGAGTGGAATCAATTTGTAAATGTAAATTTTGATCGCAAAACCGGAACCTTCGATCGGCGCAGGTTATTCATTTGTAAGCGCTTAATACGCATACAATACAATGGCGAGTCTCGCGAGCCGCGTGCGAGGACGTGTATATTCTCGCCGATTATTTCGCGGAGGATGACGGGGTTGGGAAAGGGGGGGAGAACGCGCGTGCAGGGGCGCGTAATAGGGACCGGCGCAACAAACGAATAACATACTTTGCCGTTCCCACTCGCTGAACGCTCGTAAATCCCGCAACATTCGTGCGAATCCCGTTCACAACGGAGGGCTCACAGATCGGTCCGTTTAAATTGGTACGAGCGCCATAACGCTCGCCGATCGCATGCTTCCTGTCTTTCCTCCCTCCCCCGGCCTCCCCTCTCCCTCTGCGCGGGCGTGCAAAAAATGAGAGAAAAAAAAGAAGCGGAAAGAAACGCGAAAAAATTGCTCCGTAACTTTCGTAATGCGGCACATAATATCGGAGCAATTGCTTTTCCGTGAAAGCGCGGGCGCGGTGCGGCGGCGCGCCGGCGAATGAAGGTGGTTCGAAGGGGGCGATCATGGAAGACTGGAGGAGGGTGGTAGCATCGAAACGCACGATCAAAGAAAACTTGTAAATTCAGCCGCGAAATTAGCTTGACACTAATTCCACAGCGGCGGGAGGAGGCAGAGGCATGGGCAAGGCTAAGAAGCCAGCCGGAAAAGATTGGCCTAAGGGGGCGGAGAAGGTCCGAAGGGGGGAAAGGATAAGGCGACCTCGCGTGATACCTCATACCGACTTCGCGTGTCGAAGTCTGATTTGCTTTGTTGAATCAAGTGTACACGAGGGGGGTGGAAGCGGTACGCCTCGTAAAAGGCGAGGAGAACGAGATAGTGTGCGGTCCCTCCTCCCTCCCATCATTTTCGTCGGCAATTAGACCGCCGATGGAACTCGCCCATCCGACTTGTCAGTCTTTCCCTCTTTCCTTCTCTCTCTCTCTCTCTTCTGTTGTTCCACAGGAGGTATTTTAAATAACGTTATCGCCGGCTGACGTATCAGCTGCATCTTTATTTAACTCACTCGTCAAACCAAATCCGTCCGCTCTCCTCTTCTCCCCTTGCTTTCCCTTCTCTCTATCTCTTTCTCTTGATTGAACGGATTGTCATCAATTACTTACGTCAGCTCGAAATCCGAAAGCGCACTAAAAGTCTGACGCGTCATGATGAGAATTTCACGCAGGTATATTTCAGAATCATTAGAATATATTATATCAATTGTCCAGACATTTTTAACGCAGACACCGTATAGGGAACTGACTTTAGATCCAGCTAACTCGATTTCGCGTCTCGATGGCGTGCTTATTAGTACCGCAAATTCGCGACGTAGCGAGAAAGATGTTCTTGTTCGACGGCAGGTTCAAACTTAATGACTAATATACTCGAAGGTATAATTTCGGTCGACGAGAGTTTCGCGGTCGATAAATAAAGATTTATCGTGCAACAGCGACCGCGGCAGCCGCAGGCAGAGACGATAGATTCGGAAATTATCTCGCCCTGCGGCTCGTTCAATGGAGCCTGAATGGAAATAATGGTGCAGAGAGGAAACGTAAGCTACGTTTATTTTTGGGATCTAATCTAATACATATAGAGACGCGGAGCGATTTATCGCGCCGCGGCTGTCGTATAGTAGCCGCCTTTATCTTCGCGCAATGACAGATGAATTGAAATACCTCTCTTTTGCGCTTCTATACGTGCGGTAGCAAAGTTCGGGACAACATTGTCGCGTA